ATATAACGCATGCGTTGAATTCAGCATAGGGTCAAGCACATACGTTCACAGTTATTAAAATTCAGTATAATTTATTCCCAATTTTGAAATAAAAGAATTCACAGAGGTTATGTAATTTTGCCTACGGCCACACAATAAGTTACACAGGTGGTATTCAGCCAGGTCTATCCAATTCCTAAGATATAATTTTCACATTTTTGGTCTCTGAAAGTGATCTTAAGGGTATAACTGTTAGATTAATCTGAAGGATATTTATTATACCAATCAGAATGTTTAAACTTCCTCCTTGGCCTGGGTGTGTCTTCAAGTCCAATTTCTTTGCTCCTCATCCTCATCCCAGGCCACCAAATTAAACTTCTTCAACTGACATTGTGTAGCAGCCTCAGAATGTGGATGTGGGCTGGTGACAAGTGAAGCCAAGTTAGATCCTGGTATCCAGCTGCTTCCCCACTCAAAAAAAAAAAAAAAAAAGACCATTGCTGTCAATTTGATTCCAACTATTGGTAATTCCATGTGTTACAGAGCAGAACTGTTCCATAGGGTTTTCTTGCTATAAACTTTATGAAAGCAGATTGCCAGGTCTTTCTTCCACAGTGCTGCTAGGTGGGTTTGAACCATCAACCTTTTGATTAGTAGCTGAGCACAAACTGTTTGCACCACCCAGGACCTTGCCTTCCCACTCAGGGAGGGAGCCATTCTGCCGTATTGAGACTGGTGACCCAGCTCAGGTGGGTGAGCCAGGCCTGCATACGGTTGTGAAGCTGGATTCATTCATTTGACTGTGTGATTTGGGCCTCTCCCTCTAGCTGAGCCAAGGCCTGAAAGCCCAGCTCATTGTGTCTGATTTGTTTGTGTGTATGTTTTAAATCAGCTTGCTGGAGTACTCTCTAATGATGGCGGAGAAGTCACATGATGCTGACAACCCTCAAGGAGGCCAGGAAAGGAGCAGGAGAGAGATCCTGAGGTCCACCAAGGCGGCATGGACCCGCCTGGATGAGCAGCTGCCTCCTGGCTCAGAAGAGGACAGCCAGGGTCTCACCAACCTCACTCTGGGTGAGAGGGGCCTCAGAGCTACTTAAAGGCTTGGTGAGGGGTGTGGGGGTTTTGGCAGGAGGTAGATGATTTAGGGACAAGAACTCTGCTTTGATGAGGGGTCGGTGTTCTGGCATGGTAGCAGAAACTTCCAGGAAATAGGCACTTCTGACTTGCCATACAGACACTCAGAAAGACCCTCTTGATGGAGATAAATCAACTAAAGAATGGACTCTCCATTATCCCACTCCAATCTTCCCTCACCTTGAATCCCCCAGGACCCTGAATCAATTTGAGATTCATGCCAGAGGCATGGGGCTTCTTCCAGGACATTTACTTAAAAGTCTCTTACATGCTGAGTCTTGCATGAGGCTTTGATAATTATTTTAATAATTTAGAGAGTAATAAGTAAGAAAATACTTCTCCACCCACCCACCCACCCAATGACATGGCAGAAAAGCCTGGTGATCTGCTTCCAAAAGATCACAGCCATGAAAACTCTCTGGAGTGCATTTCCATTGCACACATGGGGTTGCCATGAGTCAGAATCGACTCAATGGCAATAAATATAGCCCATGTCCACCTGACTTTTTCAGTTCATCTGACACCTTGGGAGGTTGAGCAATTCAATTGCCTTATTGTTTGGTCAGATAAACTCAAAGAAAACCAGTCCAGAGTAGCCTGTAGCCAACTGGAATGGAAGCAAATATTTAACAGGAGACCTGGCCTTTATACGGACTCCTTTTTGCCAGTTGACTATCTGTTGAGCCAGTGGTAAAGATCCACCTTAAAAGACTGGGGCCTTTTTAGCACAGGGTGCCTTTGGCAATCTGGGGACTCTAGTGCAATTTGTCCCTGGAATGAATGCAAATTTGGTTTCTAACCTGGCAGAGAACTCCTTGCAAATAAACATCGCTGGCTGCCTGCCTTAGGTAAATGTCGTGATTCAATAAGGAGAGGCTCTAAGGTGATTTATATCTAACAAGAAAAAGACAAAAGTCTTGTATGCTTTTTCACCCTTCGTATACACGCCAGGTAATTAAAAAATCACTCTCACATACTTCGCTCTTCAGTGATTTTTTTTGTCTTCTCTTTCACATTTTGTTTCCAAAAAAAAAAACTTTGTCTTTTGGCAAGTTTACACTTCATTCCCAGGAAAGGCTGATTATGGAAAACAGGAGGTCTTGCCTTGGGGAAAAAAATGAATATGCTTATAGAAACATGGGACTAAATATGTAGGAACTAGAACAGTTGAATGGTGGCGGAATGATGGGGTAGAGTAGTTTTAC